TTTATATATATATATATATATATATATATATATATATATATATATATATATATATATATATATAAATCCTTACAAATGTGTTAGACTTTTTGAGTTCAATATTGTCATTATGTACATTGAGCATATCCAAAGTTTGTCCATTGATTATATCTGCATGTAGAACCAAAACAGTTTTCATTGCAATTAAACCTGACAATGATCATTAATGCATATGGATTCATCATGAAATGTGTAGCATGAAAAATACATGAAGGTGATATGTACACGTCTATTTTCAATTTGTCCTTACTTTATCTCAATGAGCTCAATACAATAACCTCAATATACAAAGTGTAATTTATGAATAATAAACCATAATAAATGCATACATGAAAACCAAACATAGAACACAAACACACAAAAATGACTAACTCTCACTGAACCAAAGATTCTTCAAACTGTAAAACACCCATATGAGAAATATGTTTATGAAAGATTTTGGCTGTAAAAGCCTATTAAGAGGATATACCATCAAGGAGTTTGTCCCTAAGTGTTCTATGAAAATCCATCCACTTTTGTACCTTTTCTTTAACAACCAGGAACTTGGTGTTAATGTGTTTGACTTACTCTAGCTCATTTTGTTGTTAAACTACAATACAATTAATGTGTTGTCACAGTATAACTTAAGTGATTTTTCAAAATCTTTCATAATACGCAACCCTAAATCAAAAATCAACTATATACCTTGATTTGATGTCTTAGAAGATGCTACAAATTTTGCAATCACAATGGATAAATTCATAAGGGTTTGCTTGGTATTGGGTCATGAAACCACACCACCATCTAGTATGAAAATGTAACCTGAAGTGGATATTAAACTATCTTGGCATCTAGCAAAATTGTTAGAATACTTGATGATCTCTAACTGGTCTGGCCCTATATACATAAGCTTATAAACCTTTGTTCTCTTGAAAAACTTCACAACTTTTTTGACTGCTTTCCAATTACCCATTCATGAATTGTTTAAATATATGCCTAAAGCCTCAATTATGTATGTTATATGTAGATGAGTACATACTTGGACATACATCAAATTTCCTACTATTAAATCATAAGGAATTTTTTGCATTTCATGAATTTCTAAATTTTCTTTTAGGCATTGATTGAGTCTGAACTCGTCTCCCTTAGTAACTACAGAATCTTGGTCTTAAATATTTATTTACTACTCATGGGCTTCATACATTCTAGTAACGTGACAAGTTTCCAAACCTTATTGTCTTGCATGAATTTATACTTCTCATGAATCACAAGTTTCTATAGATCTTGAGTTTGTTCTTATAGAGATTTTGAACTTGCTTATCATAAGAAACTTTATGGACCAGATCATTTTCACCGATTCTTCCTCTAACCTTATTCTCCCCCTAAACTCAATATCCTTAAAGAATATAATTATTCTCTTCTTAAAGATATTTTTAGTTTGTGATTATAAAAATTGTAGTTCTTCATTTTGTATTTGTCTCTAAAGTCAATATTATGCTTAATATCATACAATTTTGTAATTATATAACCAATATAAAAGTGCTTAGGATAACATTTAATCAAATAAAGTTTAAAAAAATAAAGGGATTTTAGATGATCTTTCTTAAAAAAGATCTTCAAAATAAAATATCGAATTAAGACACATAAAATAAAGAAGACCGATTTAAAGATTTTCCTAAATATAGGACGTGATTTAAACTAATTTCTTCTCCCATACTCATAATATCTATATCTATAACTATTACACTGGAGATTACTTTATAATTGTTTATAACCTTTATTTTTGTGTACTTAGTGTTAATTTCATTAGTGAAAACACAATTCATTATTTATATATGCATTTACTTTTATTTCATAATAATAAAAAATAAAAATTAATTTTATTATTAAATTTATAATAAAAAAAATTTAATTTCATTATTGAATTTATAATAAAATAAAAGTAAAATGTAAGTATAAAATGAATAATATTTATTTTATTATAAGTAGGTCGTTTTATTATGGTAGTTATTGAGTTTAAAAAATAGTTCCAAAATCAGAAGAATAAAATAATAAAATAGTTTATATTAATAAAGATAAAATTGATACTATTTATATTAATAAAATTTAATTAAGTTTTGAATTATGATAAATTTGAAAATTTTAATTACTTTCTAAATCTTTTTGTTTATTGAGTTCACAGTTTTAAAACTTTTCAATCAAGTCATTACATTTACAATTTTATAACTTTATATTTTTATATTTTATAATTTCGTAATTCATAATTTTTTAATCTTATACTTTTATAATTTGTAGTTGTATAGTATGATAATTTTATTATTTTGTAATTTTATATTTGTTGGAACAACCGGTATCGTAGAGTCGCGCAGCGAATAAAATTCGCGAATAGCGGAAAGCGTGTTCGATCACAACTCAAGTTAATATGGTCCGTTTTTTATAAAATTAGTTTTCTTAGAAAAAATTTATCGAACAGTTGATGTACGAAAGTATAAAGAGTGTAGGGAGTAGAAAAATCACACAAATGATTTTTATCCTGGTTCGAATAAAAAGATTCTACGTCTAGTCGTTAATCACTATGAATAGTGATTGACCTTTTTCACTAAAAACAATTTTATAGTTACAATATACTGAATGCAATAAGAATGATAAAACCTTCCTTTGACGAACGAACCAGAAGGGTGCTTCCTTCGAACAACGATCCGGAAGCGAGCAACCACACTTTCCTTCGACCAACGAATCAGAACAGTGCAGTCAGAATCTTCCTTCAACCAACGAATCAGAAGCGAGCAGCGTTGCCAACTTGAAGAGAACTGCTCCAACCTTTGACACACAAAGCCCGCTTCTCCTATTCACGAGACCAGGCAATGCAATGAACCAACTTTTTAGAACTTCCTCAGTTACACTGTATTCTTAAAAAGCTCGGAGTTATTTTCTAAAGTGTTTGGCGAAGGTATATAAAGCCTACTGGTCCGAAACTGAAAAGACGCATTACAACTGCCAATGATAATCGATTATTGTAAGTGATAATCGATTATATGCGAGATTTCGAACAATTTGGATTTTTAACTCTTCAACCAATCGGCTCGAGTTCTTCATCTTCTGCCACTCGGTTTAATTTGTCACAGCCTCCTGCCGTTCGGTCTTCAACTATGTTTGGCTTGAGCCCTTATCACCTTTACTGTCCGACTTGGTTACTTATATCTTTCCAACGTTTGGTACTAGCTGCTCGGTCTCAGTCATTTCTCGCTACCGCTCGGTCCGAACTACTTGGTCTCAGTCAAGTCTTAAACCGTTCGGTCATGCCTTGAACTGTTACAATCCGTTCGGTCTTTTACTGCTATGCTCCATTCAACCTTTTATCAGTGTTCAGCCTTTAACTATGTTCAACACCGTTCGGTCTTTTACTGCGTTCAACCTTCAATTGTTACACTTCCTTCGGCCTTCAATTATTATGACCGTTCGGTCTCCAATTCTTACGACCATTCGGTCTCAATTATGCCTTTGCTTTGAACTTCAGCGTCCACCCGCTCGGTCTCGTTCATGCCCCACTTGATCTTGGTCATGCCTTCTACCGTTCGGTCTTAAGCTGTGTTCGGTCATGAACAGTGTCCGGCCATAAACAGTATTTAGCCTTTATCTGATTGTAGTCGTTCGGTCTTCGTCTAATAGCGACCGTTCGGTCTGCAACTTACTTTTGTTCTTTTTCTTCGCTGTTCATTGTGGAGATATGCTTTTAAACTTGATGCAGCTAGAGTCTTCATATTCTTTACTTAGTAGCATGATCAAAATTACTAACTTCAAAACACCAATGCTCCTCATCTGTAACAATATTTTTTTCATTTTATAATTTTAATTAATTTAAAAAATAATTTCTTTGTTTAGAGAATTTTTTGTTTCAGCATGGTTATGTAAGAAAATATTATATAATAGCATTTAAACTTGATAGGAATTGTCACATCACAATTAATAAAAAAATATATCTTAAGATTCAATAGATAAATTTTAAAACTGAATAGAGATTCGAATTTATCTTAATTATCAGTAAAAATAAAATTGATTGTGAAAATACGAAAATAATGGGAGAGTTGCTCCCTCCACACCAGCGCTTCTCTCAAAAAAATTTTTAATTACAAAACTCTTCCATTTTACTTTAACTTTTTATTTTTTACCTTTTTATCAAAACCCTAAATCCCAATTTCATTTTCACTTACAGTGGCGCAACTCCACCCTCCTCCACAAACTCTCACTTTCAAACTTTTCTCCTTCTCGTATCCGATTCTTCTCAATTTCTTTTCTCCTCCAGTTTCGTTTTTTCCAATCCTTTTTCTCCATAGCAGTTTTTATTTCATTCGTTCTTTCTTCTTCGTTTCGATCTCCTAGTCGTGCAGTGGTGCTGCGTTGGTGGTACTTTGGTGGTGCTTCGTGTATGCGTCTACTGTGCACATTTTTTCTTTAGTCCACGATAGAGGTTGGTCATGATAGACATTTGATTTTAATTTTCATGTATTGGAATATGTTGTGTGCTAGATGTTTGGTCGCTGCCTGTGCGTTTTCTATGTTTGGTAGCTGAGGGTTTGGCCTTGAACAAATGTTGATATCCATTTACGAATGTTGATATCCGTTTAGGAATGTTGACATCCATTTAAGACTCCAGCGAATACCTACATCCTTCTCCAACGAATACCCACATTCGTTACAGAGATAGGTTTATATATTCAAAAAATATACCACCTTCAACTACAAGAACCTTCTTGCACCACTCCAAAGCTTTTTTGCTACTTCCTCTAATAACTGGAGAACCTTCTTGCATAATCAATGCTATCTCCAACCAAACACACCACAATATTCCACGCTACACCACCACATTTTCAGCAAACAAAAATTAGAGGAAGAAAAAGATCCAAACGAATTTCATTCAACGAAATCAGTGGAATGTTGTGGAGGTGCATTGATACAAAAACATTAACGGAAGTAGATGGTTGTTGGGTAAAAAAATAAAAACATAAATTAAATATTACTGATAGAGCTGTCAAAATGGGTCACAACCCGCGGACCAACCCGGCTCACCACGGGTTCGGGTCGGGTTGGGTTTGAAAAATTGTATTTTTTTATGCGGGTTAGATTTCAACCCGGCTCATTTAAACCTGGCTCATGCGGGTTGAACCTATGGTGGGCCGGGTTGGCCCACCAATCCACCTACCTAATTTTATTTTATTAAAATTTAATTTTAATTTTATAAAAAAATATTTATTATTTTTTTTTCTTGAAAAAATTATTTAAGTTCTTTATTTTCAAAATTAATTAAACACCCATGTTGGGAGTGAAATTTGGGAGTGAAATTTGTTTAGATTTAAATTATAAAAAGTTTGTAATTATTTTTTATTTTAAAAAAATTGTAATTAAGTAAGCCAGTGAGCCAACCCGTTTACCCACCAACCCGTTGTGGGTTGGGCCGAGTTCAGATTTTTCTGACTCGCTAATAAATGAGTCGGATTGGGTTGGCTCACTAAGTGACCAATCCGTGGTAGACCAGACCGGGTAACCCGTTTTGACAACTCTAATTATTGAGGAAAAAAGGGGAATGGAGAGGTGGAGAGAGTAATGCGTAGTGGTGGAGGGAACAACTCCCAAATAATGGTTATAAAAGATTATACAAAATAATTTTCTTTGATAATAATTATTGATAATGATTTTATATATTTTCCTTTTGGAACTGTTGTTTTAAATTTAATATTTACTTCCAAAAAAATCACATTTATAATTAATAAAATAAATATAAATAAGATAAATTTAAAATATATAAATAAATACAGAACACATTTTACCAATTAATTTTATAAGAGTTAAATTAAATTTAAAATTCATTTTTTAACAATAATAAAATATAAAAACTCTTCCGTTTATATATTACTATTATTTTATATTTATTATACTTTTATTATGAAGAGATAAAAGTAAACACAGGTACAACTACTCCATGTATTTTTGCTAGTAATAAGTAACCAACATGCCTTTATCTTAATACCTTTAAATCAACTTAAATTTATAGTTTACATTATGTAATTTTCAACAATTTCATATTAGAATCAAACTATCTCGGGTTCAAATTATACATTATCTAAAATTATATCTCAGATCGCATAATTGAGAATTAGGTAATCGCGTTTTGGATTAGAGAACAAGAAATAGTGTTCCGAAGTAAATTTAAAATAACATTCTAAATTGTGTAATTTTATTTGGCTTAATACCCTATTTTGTCCCCAGTTTCGCTCGACAATGTCAAATTAGTCCATCCTTTAAAACGTGCGTCAATTACGTCCCTACTTAATAAAATTTATATCAATAAAATACCTTCCATTAAATCCGTACAAACAGCGTTAATTATTTTTCTCTCTCTTCTATTAACAACGTTTGTACGGATTTAACGGAAGGGATTTCATTGATATAAATTTTATTAAGTAGGGACGTAATTGACGCATGTTTTAAAGGATGGACTAATTTGACATTGTCGAGCGAAACTGGGGACAAAATAGGGTATTAAGCCAATTTTATTTTGGATTACATCATCTAAAGTTATATTTTAGATATATTATATTAAAGGCAAGATGGTTATCTTTTATATTATGAGGTGAGAGAAAAAAATATATGGAGATGGAAAAAAGTAAGTCGTTTTTCCTTTTAGAAATGTGTTATATGATGGAGTTTTGAAGGTTTAGAGGCCTTGATTCCCAATTTGTTTCTTCTATTTAGGTAAATGAATATATAAATAAAATAAATTTTTTATTTTATTATTGTATCATATGCACCGGGCGGTCTGAGAGCAGTATAACGGCTGATGTTTCTTCAATCTTTTTACTCCTCTGATAGCATTACCGGACGGCTGACATCAACACTCACCACACATTGTGCGACCCGACTATTCATCCTCCTGCTCGAATGAGTAATGATGGTATACCGTACGGGCGGCGGTGTAAGGCCGACCGGTCGGTAACCTGGATTATTAAGACTAGGATTAAGGTAAATGGTGATTATAGCCATTGGGCTGAAATTGGGCCGTGATTAACTTTTCACCAATCCCAAGCCCATGGCGAAAACTATAAATACAAGTTAGAGGTGAGTGGTAGACAAGTTGCATTTACTGCACATTCATTACTATTTCATTGAATCGCCAAACGATTTCTGTACTGACTTTGGCATCGGAGAATCTTTGACAGGTTCCCCCCAGACGGAAGAGTGGACAACAGAGCTTGGAGCGAGACCTGACAACTAGAAGACAATTTGTGGAGGAGTTTGGTGACTTAGCCCTAAATAACCGAAATATTTTGGTGTCCACCGTGGGGTCGAGTTACTTGCAAAATCTAATGGTGACCACGAGAAACATGAGTATGGACGACCCAGTGGAGATGATTCGGATGCTACAGCAGAAGATGGAGGAGATGCAGTAGTGTCATGAGGCGGAACTCATAGTCGTCAGGGCCGAGTGTTCGGCACGCGTTGGCCGAGAGGGTTCAAGAGAAAAGGGGGAAGGAGAGCAGGCCAAGGAGCGTGGCAAGGATGCCATGGAGGATCGAACCGAACACAACAGTGAGCCGGACAAAACGTGGAAACCCACGGAATCGGAGGTCGAGGGAAGCAAAGCTAAATCTGTACACGCGAAAAGTGCAGTAGGGACAAGCAGTTACTAGTGAAAATCGAGTCCTCGTCAACACTATTACTCCCCTTCGTCCAGGCGATCATGGACATCCAGATATCGGAGCAGTTCGTCCCGCCTCAGTTTAAAATATACGACGGGACAACGGACCAGGAGGCCAACATCAAAACCTTTTCAAACAAAATGGCGTTCCGGACCGATAACAACGCCATTTGGTGCCGAGCTTTCTCATTATCACTGGAGGAGGAGGCGCTCCAGTGGTTTAACTTACTCCCCCCAATTCCATTGAGAATTTCGTTGGACTACAACGTTTGTTCAATCGTCAATTTACCGGTAGCAGTACTCAGGACTTGACCATCTTTGATTTGGTTACCCTGAAACAAGGGAAGGAAGAAACTTTAAGAGCGTTCATGGATCGCTACCAAAAGACCGTCCGATGGGTGAAGGGATTAAGCCCAAAACTTGCCTTGCAGTACATCCTTCCCGCCCTCAAGCTCGGGCCGTTTAAGGACATCGTCTACCGGCGGGCACCCAAGACTATGGAAGAACTGCGAGAAAGGGCGACTGATGAGATAAGGGTGGAGGAAATGAAGCTGGTCTATAAGAAGGAGAATCAGGAAAACAAAGGAGGAAAAACTAACTGGGGGAAGTCGGGCGGTCAAGTTGGGAAGCCTGGGGGATTCAAGCAAAGAGAACTGCCTCAGGGGCCACGATTCCAGCAATATACCCCCTTGAACGCCTCTCGTGCGAAGATTTTCCAGGAAGCTTTGAGCGCAGAGTTGATCCCAGAACCGAAGAGGCGACCTATGCCGCCGGGGGCGAACAGTAATAAGCACTGTTTGTATCATAAGAACATGGGCCACAGCACAGAGGAATGCGTAACCCTGAGGGATAAGATCGAAGAGTTAATTTGTGCGGGGTAGTTGAAGAAGTATGTGAGGATCGACCGCCCCTACTCGCCCATAGACCGATCGAATCCACGACAGACCAGCCCTAGAAAACCAGAAAGGTAAGGAAGGGCAAGAAAAGACCGGACCGATTGCCCGCAATCGGAGAGACGACGAAGTAGAAGCCGTAGTAGGAGGCACGATCGCCCCCTGCGAGGACACATCAATACGATATCCGGTGGTTTCACTAGAGGAGGATCTTCTTCATCCGCCCAGAAACGTCATGTGCGGGCTTTACAATCCGTTCACTCGGTAGACAAACCTAGGAGGACGATGCCCCCATTACATTTTCAGATGAAGACTTCCATGCCCCTGATCCCAATCAGGATGATCCGATGGTGATAACAGCGGAAAACGCCCGGTACGGTGTGAGCAAAGTGCTGGTGGACCAGGGGAGCTTAATAAACATCCTCTACTGAAAAACCTTCCAGTAGATGGACATATCGGAAGATCTGATCGTCCCATACAACGACCAGATCGTGAGTATCACAGGTGAGAGGGTAGACACCAGAGGATATGTAGATCTACGCACAAGACTAGGGACCGGTTGGAACAGTGAGGAAAATAGGGTTAGATACTTGCTGGTGGAAGTCAACACCTCCTACAACGTACTCTTGGGTCGGCCGTGCCTAAATGCTTTTGGGGCGATTGTGTCAACCCCCCCATCTCACGATGAAGTATCCCTTGGACAAAGGGAAAATCTGCACTGTCTGGGCGGACCAAAAGACGACTAGGGAATGTTACGCCGCAGGCCTGAAACTTCACACCCGCGTGGTCAGAAGGAGGACGGGTGGTTTTGAGGTGGCTGTGGCAGACCTTGACCCGAGGACAAACACGGAAGATCGGTTGGAGCCCCTCGGGGAGACACAACCGGTCTTGATAGGGAAAGACGCTTCCCAGACCATCGCTATGGCTCGAGGGTTAGAGCCTGAGTTGGAGAGAGAGATTCGGTTCGTCTTGTGGGAGAATCGTGACTTATTTGCATGGACAGCCGCTAATATGTTAGGGATCCACCCCTCGATCATGTAACATAATTTGGCATTATTTAAAGAAGCGCGACCGGTGACGCAAAAGAAGCGGCGGATGAGAGAAGAGAAAAGGATAGCTGTGGAGGAGGAGGTCGGGAAGCTGAAGGAGGTCGGATTCATCAAAGAAGGGACGTACACTACTTGGCTTGCTAATGTAGTTAATGTGAAAAAACCAAGTGGAAAATGACGTATGTGCACTTACTATACTGACCTGAACAAGGCTTGCCCTAAGGATTCGCATCCTTTGCCGAGCATAGATGCGTTGGTGGACAGTGCCTCCGGTCACCGGATGCTAAGCTTCCTAGATGCTTACTCAGGTTACAATCAGATACCCCATATATGGACCGGATCGGGAGAAGATGACATTTATCACTATTAAGGCAAACTTTTGTTACGAAGTTATGCCCTTTGGCTTGAAGAATGTCGGGGCCACCTATCAGCGTTTGATGGATAGGATCTTTGCGGAACAGATCGGTCGGTGCATGGACGTGTACGTCGATGATATGGTCATCCGTTCACCGGATGGACGATGCCATGTGAAAGACATGGAAGAGGTGTTCAAGCAGGTTAGAAGGTACGAGATGAGGCTCAATCCGGCCAAGTGCACATTCGGGGTGGCTGCGGGAAAATTCCTCGGTTTCATGCTCACTGCCCGGGGTATTGACGCCAATCCTGATAAATGTGCAGCCGTGTTGGAGATGCAGAGCCCAGTCACTCTTAAGGAGATCCAAAGGTTGATCGATCGACTCATGACTTTATCGCGATTTATTCCCAAGCTGCCCGAGAGGGTCAAACCGGTGTTGCGGAAGATTAGGAAGGGACCCGTCTCGAGTGGGATGTTGAGTGCGAACGAGCATTTCAGGACGTCAAGACAATTTTGATGAACCCGCCGGTGATGAACGGTTCGACACCGGGGGAAGATTTGCAGATCTTTCTGGGTGTCTCAAAGTCACCAATCAACGCGGTGCTAATGCACGAACGACCCGAGCCTAGGCTCGTATATTTCATTAGTCGCACCCTCCAGGAAGCCGAGACGCAATATCAACAGGTGGAAAAGGTTGCCTTAGCCTTGTTGAATGCGTCCAGAAGGCTCCGACCATACTTCCAGGGTCACCAAGTCGTTGTTAGGACCGACTTTCCCATCTCCAAAATTTTGAGGAAACCGGACCTAGCGGGACACATGGTGGCATGGGATGTCGAATTGTCGGAATTTGGCTTACGCTGTGAGCCACGAGGATTGGTTAAAGGCCAACATTTGGCCGGTTTTGTAGCAGAATTACCCCAGGCGATCAATGATGAGTGGAACCTATACGTCGACGGGGCGTCCGGATGATCAGTGAGTGGGGCCGATATAATTCTGGAGGGCCCGAATGGATTCTTGTTGGAGCATTCCTAAGTTCAAGGTTTCCAACAACCAGGCGGAGTACGAGGCCCTAGTGACCGACTTGGAGCTTGCAAGAGACATGGGAGCTTGGGAGGTCATGTGTCGGACGGATTCCTAGCTTGTTGTGGGTGAAATGAATGACGAGTTCCAGGTGAAGGAGGAGCAGCTCCTCCGGTATTTCCACCGAGCGACTGCCCTGGTGAATCTGTTTGATAAGATCGACATCCAGCACATCCCTCACGAGGATAACACCCGGGCGGACATGTTATTGAGGTTAAGTTCGGGGAAAGAAAAGGGGCAATTGACGATGATTATACGCCAAGTTCTACTACAACTGTCGGTCGAATGCTTGACGGTGTCAAATATTGAAGTCGGGGACTAGCGAACGGAGATCCGAGCGCTAATGACCCAGCAAGACGCAAGACAATCGATTAAGCCGGCAGACGCCAAGAAGATCGTCCGTTACCTTATGGTTAGGGACAACCTGTACCGGAGAGGATTCTCCACCCCTCTCCTCAAGTGTCTTGGGAAGGAGGAAGCACAGTATGTTATGGACGAGCTCCATAATGGAGTCTGTGGTTTCCATACCGGTCGTTGGGCCCTGAAGGCTCGGATTTTGAGGGCCGGATACTACTAGCCGACTTTGGAGGAAGACACTAAGGTATTTGCCCAGAGGTGCCTCAACTACCAGGCCCACGCCAACAACACCCACGCACCACCCCACACCTTGCACACCATGACGTCACCCTGACGTTCGCACAATGGGGGATGGATATAGTCGGTCGGTTCCCAACAGGTCGGGCGCATAAGAAGTTCCTCCTCGTGGCGATCGATTATTTCATCAAATGGGTGGAGGCTAAACCCTTGGTGACCATAACGACATCGCAGGTCCCAAAATTCTGCTGGAAATTGGTGTGTCGATTCGGTCTTCCTCGGATGATCGTCACAGACAACGGTCGACAGTTCATCGATAAGAAATTGGCTAAGTTTTATAAGGGTCTGGGATTAAGCACGTCACTAGTTCGGTGGAACACCCCCAGACAAACGGTCAAGTAGAGGCCATGAACAAGACCATAGTGGCCGAGCTAAACACGGGTGAGAAGAAAGGAGCATGGGTTGACGAGCTCCCAGAAGTGTTATGGACTTACCAGTGTACTCCGCATGGGACGACCGGTGAGACCCCTTTCAACTTGACGTATGACACTGATGCCATGTTACCAGTCGAGTTAGGAGAACCCTCTTTGCAACGCCGGATGGAGGACCTTTAGTTAAACGATGAAGAGCTAAGGGTGGAACTTGACTCCTTGGAAGAGCGGAGAGATCGGGCGGCATTAAGAGCCGAAGCATGCAAGCGAATGATGGAAAGGAAGTACAACTCTAAAGTTCGGCCTAGGAACTTCCAAGAGGGCGATCTGGTATGGAGAAAGACGGGGGAAGCCCGACGGACGACCACTCACAGTAAACTTGCGGCCAAATGGGAAGGACCTTTTCGAGTAACAGAAGCATTGGGAAACGGAGCCTACAGGCTGATGCATACAGACGGACGCCAAATCCCAAACACTTGGAACGCTACTCACCTAAAATTTTATTCCAATTGATAGCTACTTTTGATTGTACATTTTATTTTCGGTGATTAATATGATGACAGGGTGTCCCACTCTTTTGTCAAAGATTTCTACGATAAGGACATATTCCTGTAAAGCGTTTAATCAAAAAAGAAATCCAAGTTGATGAACGGAGAAGTTCCAAACGGAACCACTGTCAACTTGGTCGGGTAGTGAACGGAGAGTTCTTCCCGAAGAACCACTGCTGCCCGGAACTTATGAAAATCCAAGTTGATGAACGAGGAGTTCCAGAAGGAACCACTGTCAACTTGGCCAGACGGTGAACGGAGAGTTCTTTCTGAATAACCACTGCCGCCCGGATCCTGTATAAATCGAAGTTGATAAACACGGAGTTCCAAAAGGAACCACTGTCAACAGAGCCGGGCAATGAACGGAGAATTCTGCCTGAAGAACCATTACCGCCCGGATCCGGCGGAAGTCCAAATTGATGAACGAAGTTTCAAATGAAACTGCTGTTTACTTGAATAAACGCTATTGATAAAGCTAGCAAGATAATAAAGTCAAACGACCGGTATGAAAGTAATATTAAAACGAATTGAAGAAAGTAAAATTGTATTGATGTGTAGGGGATATACAAAAAGTCGGCTATGGGACGGCTCGGCCAATAAGTAAACAAATCAAAAATGTTGGCCAACCGGCCACATGAACAAATACATAAAAGTATTTAAAACAAAAAAGTGAAAACCCCTAACTAACTACTTGTAAAATCACTTGGCCCCAGGGCCATCATCAACACCACCGGTAGCATTAGTGTCCTCGGCATCCTCGGCCGGCTCATCGACGCCCTCGACCTCCACCCTCTGGTCACCGACACCGAGGCTTGAAGGGTCCTCCATCTCCTGTGGCTCATCCTCAGCGGCTGGGGCGTCAAGGTGAACCAGGACCCCATCAAAGACATTTTTTCAATGTCGAATCCCAAGGCATAGGGCTCCCGGATCC